CGAATTGGCCGGCTCAGGGCGGGCAGATCAGCCCTTGAACTTCCATCCCTGGTCAGCACACCCTCGGTCTGGTCCTGGAGTGCATCTCTTGGTTTAGTTTCATCCCAAAAGGAGTCCAGGTGGTGCTGCTGCTTCCCCGTGTTGGGAACCAAAGCACAGTAAGTGGGAGATTCACTTCAAAACTGGCCCGAGTCACAATGCTGATGCAAATATGCCTGTGAACATTGCAAGAATGAGTAGCTACCAGAGTTCATTTTAGTGGTTTGGTTCGTTGGGGGTTTTTTCCCTAGGACTAGGGGTTTATCTCTTTTATTTTTCCTACAGTGTTGCCAGCATCTTTCCAGCTTCATATGAAACTGCCTCTCTTTTTAAATAGCAACCCGGAGTTTTTGTAGGGGTAAAAAATGAAGCAACACGTTTCTGTTGCAGCAGTAGAAGAACCCTCATCTGACCAGTATCTACATCTGCATAATTTCCCATGCCTGTAGGAAAAGAATAAATCCTAAATGAGATGGGTGGTGAAGGGGAATAGATTTGGAAACCTTGCTCCAAAGAGAGTTGTCTGAATTTGGGATTAAGCTGGTGTATCAGAGATAAGCACCTCGCGCAATATTTTATGTTATTGCCAGAATGTAGCCAAGTATAGGCACAGGATGAGCTTTGCCAAGATGAAAGCAAATAGGTTTGTGGAGGAGATAATCCAGGAACTGCTGCATCTTTCTCAGCACAGGCACTGATTGCTGAATGGATCGAGATGCCTGATCACACCCAGTTACTTCTCAGGTGTTTTCTGTTCAGCATTGAAATTGCTGTCTGTGCTGTCACTGTTCTGTGGGCAAATACAGGATAATCCTTGTGGCATCTCCTGGTAGTGTGAACGTCACACAGAACGAATCCATTTGCCAGTTTTGAGCAACTCTGCTGCAAAGCAGCTCATCTTCCTTTTCTCAGAAAGATGAGACTACAGCATACTGGTGAAGATCAGTCTAATGGGGAAGATCTTCCTTTGTACACACATTCATGCCATTAGATGGGGGTAAGGCTTAGATGCTATAAAACGTCTGCCACTCACAATGACATCAGCATCCAAGGCATTTTCCAGAACTTGTTTACTTTGCTTTCTGCAATGAAAAAAGCAGTAAGTAACTTATCCTCATGCTTTTCTGGGAGGAAATAGTGTAGATTGAAACCTAGCACAAATCCATAACCTATGGAAAAGTCTCCTTTATTCCAGGAGAAATAGTCTTTTTAAGGGCAGTGCTGAATCTGGGCTGTAATTAAAACAGCTTTTTAAAGAAAAAGAAAAACAGTGGATGTTTTTCTTGTTTGATGTACTACCTATCACTAATGACCCTCTTTTCTCATTTCCATTTAAAAAATGGATATAAGCAATTATCCATATATTGCACAAAAGTAGCATTACCTGAAAAAATAATTAAGATGATCTTGAAATTAAGGAAATCAGTTTTGAAGAGAAGCAGGTGCTTAATGGAGGTGAGACCAGCTGTGCTTCCCAGGAACGTGCTTGAAGCACTTAGTGGAGATATGTGTGAGGCCTCCACACAACACTGGAAGGAAATTTATAATAATCCAGACAAATTGCATCCTATAAATAGCAGAGCTGGATTCATTAGGACAGGAGGCAGATGGAGAAAATATAAAACTTGTTTGTTTCTTTTTAAGGGACTGTAATGCTTATGAAAAGTGTCAGCTTGCTGTCAATGAGGGAAGAACCCTCCGGTGCAGCAGTAACTTCCTCGCTATTAGGTTCTCATCTCTGCTAATGAGCAGCCGTCCATGAGGGGCATTCATAATACTTTGTTTTAGCAACTCCTGCCTGCCTTTTCCTGGTGTAGCCAGAAGTGCTGCAGTGCTGGAAGCGTGCAGCAGTTGAGGGGAGCAAGGGAGGCATGAGGGAGGACAGAGTTGCATGTATGGTGCGTAACACTTGCTAACTTTGTTTAAAACAGATGCTAATGGAGCAGAGGCATAAAAGCAGTTGGGAAGCGGGGATGTGTGGAGTGAGGTGGGAATCATCCACCAAACTGGCTAAGGGGTTATGCCCCAAAGCAGAAATATACTGGTAATTGGTAGAGGAAATGCTGTGAATTATTGAAGAGAGAAGGTGAAGACATATTTGAGATGCTCTTACGTTAGCAAGTAGGAAAAAAGAGAGGCTTTCATGCATGAAGAGAAGTCATGACAGAAAGCAGGTGGGAGGTGCGTGACTGGAATGCAACTCTGTCCACAGGAGGTGAGCGGTGGCGAGAGGGTTGTTGCATCTTAGTATTCATACACAATGAGGTGCTGCAAAGAAGGAAGAGTGTCAGCCAAAAAGGAACATACAGAAAGGAAAGGGAAAGGCTGACAGAAAGGGCACATTGTAGACTGCACACAGATAACAGCAGAGAGTGAACATGTGGGGCTGTTTCCAAGTATGCTGAAATTATAACTAGACACTTTAAAACAAAGCCATCAGAGAAGGCTGGCTGAACAATTGCATACTATGCAACCACAGGCAAGTCTGAGCTCTCATAACAGAAGCAGTAAATGTTCTCTATGAATATTATCTGTTAATGAACCTGCCTTCATCTCTTTTGCTCATCTGATTTACATTTCAGCAAAGCTTCCTTAAGATAACAGTGTCAAAATTCCACTAAGCTATCCTAAGAGATTTTTTAAGTGTTAGCATTCAGGAAAGGAATACTGCATGCTTATCAGGCAGTGGTGTTTTTTCCTGAAGAGTTCTTAGATTGCCAATTCACCTTGTGAAGTGGCAGAGGAAAAGGGTGTTATGAAGGTCATATTGGAGTCAGATAATCACTAACTTATTTGAGGAATGGAGAAAAGCTATACATCTGTTCATGCTTCGTGTAACTATGGTTTTCCTCAGCATTCAATATAGAGGGCAATGATCCCAATGCAAGGAGAGGACATAGGAGAATAGGAAAGTAAGCGGTATGGATTGGCAGGATGCCTTTGGGGATTGCCATATGTTGCAGCTTGCACATATCTAGGGTGTCATGTAGCAAGCAAGTGGTGGCATTAAAACCAGTCACGGACATGGAGCAGGTTAATATCCAGTCTTTTGAGAAGAATGCAGGCGTGCTGTGATGCATGTGAGAAGCTGAACAGGGAAAGTGTGAGCCAGCACATGGGAGCTTATGGATCCTCATGCATAGATCAGTGTTTTGGTGTGGAGCAAAGAAACCCTTGGCTTTTAAGTGTTTTCTTAACTTTCAATGAGATAAATATGCCCTATATATCCAGGGGGTTAACATGGCCTGTGTTTATGGGTAGTGTTATATGAGGTTTGAAGTACTGAGTTCTGAGACCTTGACTCACATAGTCCCACAGCAATAACTAGTATGAAAAATACAGAGAAACAATCAGATTTGAAATGTAAGGCTTTAATTTCAGAAAGCCTTTAGCAACAGAGGATTTTAAAAAGAAAAAAAATTATAAGATATCTACTTGATAGGATAGCGTTGTTCAGTTTTCTTCCTTCCAGGTTTGATCTAAGATGTCTGAAATACAAAAATCTGTGATATGTGCTGAAAAATATGTGTATGAGAGATGGGTGATTTTGAAGAGAAAGTAATGAGAAGTGATTTGTGTTTGTAGGTTTCCTGTCTTGCTAGTGGAAAACTTGCTTTGAATTATGCCACACTTCTAGGACAGCATCTTGTTATGTGAAAAACATTCTTTACATGTGTACAAATAAAAAAATTCTTCTGCTCAAAACAAGCTTCAAATTTCTTCTTTGCCCAAGCTCATTCACACCTTTATGCTTTCTTCCGTGTCGTGTTTTTCCAAAAATCTTTCC